GCTCACTGAGTTGGCCAAGAAATCTCAATGTGAGGGGTAAGTTTATTTGGATTTTTCCCAAACTCAGCTAGATACCATTAACACTGGGTTCCTTTATAAAGAGACCAGCTCACTGGGATGTGGAAGAGACAGTGACACATCCCCTCCTGACCTTCTTTCTCCTTCTCTGGCTGGGTGTGCTCTCAGAACAGGGACCCTCTTGGGGACATACAGGCCCTGGGAGAGAATGCTCTTCTGAACTTAATTAGCTAGACCCCAGCTGAAGTTTCTAGATCAAGGGAAGAGCCAGTGGACTGAGTCAGGTCTCAAAAGAATCATCTAACCAAGCACACAGTGACCTACTGCTGCCAGCCTCTTGACTCAGCCTCGGTCCTTTATTGAGGTATAAGTTACATACAACCAGATGCAATCATTTCAAGTGCAGTTTGCTGAGTTTAGACAAATGTTTATGCCAGTGTTATTCCTACCACAAGCAAGGTATAAAATATGTGCATCGCTCGGGAAAGTTCCCTTGTGTCCCATCCCACTCAATCTCACCTGGCCCAGGGCTAGGGAACCTCAAATCTGCTTCCTGTCACTATAGGTTACTTATTCTTAACAATGAATGAATAAATGAGCTCATTCTTTCATTGAGCACATTTTTGAGATTCATCTATAATATTTTTGGGGGGTGGGTATATCAATAGTTCATTCCATTTTGCTGCTGTAATACTGCATAGCTTGAATATGCAGCAAATTGTTTATCAATTCACCTGTCTGAAAGTGAAAGTCACTCCATGGAATTCTGTAGGCCTGAATACTGGAATGGGTTGCCTTTCCCTTCTACAGGGGATCTTCCCAACCCAGGGATGGAACACAGGTCTCCTGCATTGCAAGCAGATTCTTTACCAGCTGAGCCACAAGGAAAGCCCAAGAGTACTGGAGTGGGTAGCCTGTCTGGGGTTGTTTGTAATGTGGGATTATTATGAATGAACCTGATCTGAATATTCATGTAGAAGTCCTTCTAAAGATGTGTTTTTATTTGGAAAGTAAAGTCACTCAGTCGTGTCCGACTCTTTGAGACCCCATGGACTACCAGGCTCCTCTGTCCATGGGATTTTCCAGGCAAGAGTACTGGAGTGGGTTGCCATTTCCTTCCCCAGGGGATCTTCCCGACCCAGGGATGGAACCTGGGCCTCCCACATTGTAGGCAGATGCTTTACTGTCTCAGCCACCAGAGAAGTTTTATTGTAGGGTGGGGGTAAAAACCTAGAATAGGAATCGTTGTGTCATTTGGTAAGTGTCTGTTAGCGTTAAAGGAAACTGCCGTGCTGTTTTTCAGACACTTGCACCATTTTGCATTCCCATTGAAATGTCTGAAAGTTCCAGGTATCTACATCCTCACCAATACTTGGCATTTTAGCTGTTCTAATGGATGTGTGGCAGCATCTCATTGTGGTTTTAATTATGACTAGTGATTTGAGCAGCAATTCTGTGCTCCTTGGGTATCTCCTTCTGTGACTCAATCACTCTGACTAGCTCCATGATACTAAATTCAGTAATACCATAGCCAAAAGTATCCTTGTAAGTTGCTGGCAGGTTGTTACTTTTTCTTTCTTGCCTTAATGCTGGCAATACATAATAAATCTGACAGAAGCTGTGATTTCCCTCTTGTCCCAGGATGAGACCATCCAAGCAGACTTTCAGAAATCCCCTGCATTGAATCGTGAGCAGGTAGATTGAACCTATGGCACTGACCCATTGCTGGGAAAAGGGAAATATAAACCATGTGTCCATCCCTCTTCCTCCATTGCTATTCTCTGCTTATAGGAACCACAGTTGATACAAGCTCATGACTACTCCTGATTTCTGTGACCTCTCACAATACAGTCTATGCCACTTAGAGTGAAGTCGCTCAGTCGTATCCAACTCTTTGTGACCCCATGGACTGTAGCCTATCAGGCTTCTCCCTCCATGGGATTCTCCAGGCAAGAATATTGGAGTGGGTTGCCATTTCCTTCTACAGGGGATCTTCCCGACTCAGGGATTGAACCCGGGCCTCCTGCACTGCAGGCAGATGCTTTAACCTCTGAGCCACCAGGGAAGCCCAATGCCACTTATAATGTTATTTAATTTTAAATTTTTTTGAATTGTTACCTACTCCATATGCACATGTATTCATTCCCTAAATAAATTAAAATATGCCTCATCTTATCTTTTATGTGTTCTTGCCACCTCTTCTTAATATCTTCTGCTTCTATTAGGTCCATACCATTTCTGTCCATTATTGTGCCCATCTCTGTATGAAATGTTCCCTTGGTATCTCTTAATTTTCTTGAAGAGATCTCTAGTCTTTCCCATTCTATTATTTTCTCTATTCCTTTGCACTGATCACTGAGAAAGGCTTTCTTATCTCTCCTTGCTATTCTTTGGAACTCTGCACTCAAATGGGTATATCTTTCCTTTTCTCCTTTGCCTTTAGCTTCTCTTCTTTTCTCAGCTATTTGTAAGGCCTCCTCAGACAACCATTTTGCCTTTTTGCATTTCTTTTTCTTGGTGATGGTCTTGATCACTGCCTCTTGTACAATGTCACGAACCTCCATCCATAGTTCTTTGGGCACTGTCTCTACCAGATCTAATCCATTGAATCTATTTGTCACTTCCACTTTGTATAATCATAAGGGATTTGATTTAGGTCATACCTGAATGGTCTAGTAGTTTTCCCTACTTTCTTAAATTTAAGTCTGAATTTGGCAATAAGGAGTTTGGCCAGACATCCTGGAATGTGAAGTCAAGTGGGCCTTAGGAAGCATCACTACAAACAAAGCTAGTGGAGGTAATGGAATTCCTGTTGAGCTATTTCAAATCCTAAAAGATGATGCTGTGAAAGTGCTGCACTCGATATGCCAGCAAATTTGGAAAACTCAGCAGTGGCCACAGGACTGGAAAAGGTCAGTTTCCATTCCAATAACAAAGAAAGGCAATGCCAAAGAATGCTCAAACTCCCGCACAGTTGCACTCATCTCACACACTAGCAAAGTAATGCTCAAAATTCCCTAAGCCAGGCTTCAACAGTACGTGAACCATGAACTTCCAGATGTTTAAGCTGGATCAGATTTAGAAAAGGCAGAGGAACCAGAGATCAAATTGCCAACATCTGTTGGGTCATTAAAAAGCAAGAGAGTTCCATAAAAATATCTATTTCTGTTTATTAACTATGCCAAAGCCGTTGACTGTGTGGATCACAACAAACTGTGGAAAATTCTTCAAGAGATGGGAATACCATACCACCTGACCTGCCTTCTCCGAAATCTGTATGCAGGTCAAGAACCAACAGTTAGAACCAGGCATGGAACAATAGACTGGTTCCAAATTGGGAAAGGAGTCTGTCAAGGCTGTATAGTATCACCCTGCTTATTTAACTAATATGCAGAGTATATCATGCAAAATGCCAGGCTGGATGAAGCGCAAGCTGGAATCAAGATTGCTGGGAGAAATATCAATAACCTCAGACATGCAGATGACACCACCCTTATGGCAGAAAGTGAAGAACTAAAGAGCCTCTTGATGAAAGTGAAAAAGTTGGCTTAAAATTCAACATTCAGAAAACTGAGATCATGGCATCTGGTCCCATCCCTTAATGGCAAATAAATGGGGAAACAATGGAAACAGTGAGAAACTTTATTTTCTTGGGATCCAAAATCACTGCAGATGGTGACTGAAGCCATGAAATTAAAAGATGCTTGCTCCTTGGAAGGAAAGCTATGATCAACCTAGACAGCATACTAAAAAGCAGAGACATTACTTTGCCAACAAAGGTCTGTATAGTCAAAGTTATGGTTTTTCCAGTAGTCATGTATGGATGTGAGAGTTGGACTGTAAAGAAAGCTGAGGATGGAAGAATTGATGGTTTTGAACTGCGGTGTTGGAGAAGACTCTTTGGAGTCCCTTGGACTGCAAGGAGATCCAACCATTCAATCCTAAAGGAAATCAGTCCTGAATTCATTGGAAGGACTAATGTTGAAGCTGAAACTCCAATACTTTGGCCACCTAATACAAAGAACTGACTGCTTGGAAAAGACCCTGACGCTGGGCAAGATTGAAAGTGGAAGGAGAATGGGACAACAGAGGATGAGATGGTTGGATGGCATCACTGACTAAATGGACATGAGTTTGAGCAAACTCCAGGAGTTGGTGATGGACAAGGAAGCTTAGCGTGCTGCAGTCCCTGGGGTCGCAAAAATTCGGACACAACTGAAGGACTGAACTGAATTGAACATCTTATCTTGCTTCTGTGTTTCCATGGTAGTGGTTTAGTCGCTAAGGCATGTCAGACTCTTGCAACCCCATGGACTGTAGCCTGCCAGGCTCCTCTGTCCATGGGATTCTCCAGGCAAGAATACTGGAGTGGGTTGCCATTTCCTTCTCCCAGGAATCTTTCCAACCTAGGGATCAAGCCCAGGTCTCCTGCATTAATGGCAGATTCTTTACCAACTGAGTTACAAGGGAAGCCCTTGTGTTTCCATGGTGCTCAATAAATACTTTCAAAAATAAACTAGATTTTCATGGGGCTCCCTGGTGGCTTAGATGGTAAAGAATCTACCTACAGTGCGAGAGACTCAGGTTCAATCCCTGGGTCAGAAAGATCCCCTGGAGATTTTCGTTAGAGAGAGTGAGACAGAGAGACAGAGATTGAACTTACTCTAGATTTCATGTGAACACAAACTTTTTATCCCCAGCACTTTACGAGATTCCTCCCCACCCACTCCCTTCTCTTGTTGACAGTGTAAAACAAACCAGTTAGCCTGGAAATTATCTTTATGAAATAAATCAGCGTTATTGTTTTGAGTTTTTGCCCCGCATGTATTAATTCAAAAAGAACATATGTCTTGGTTCAGTAACAATTTGCAGAAAGCCAGACATCCCATAAAAAAGAATTTGTTGGTTGAGATGTTTATCCCTCCAGCTATCTTTTCCCTTTTTATGACCACAGAGAATACTAGTGTTTCTTTACTTTTCAGAATCATCTGCTCAGGAAGACTTCTGGCAGTGGCTCCGACAGGAAGTTCCTCTGTGCTAAAGCTGTGGGTTGTTATGAGACCTGGTTGCTTCCCACTCTTCAGTCTGCACATAGGTGTATCAGCTCCCACCCAGACACTGCCGGGAAGAGCATCTTTCAGTTGGAACACTACTTGTGTCTCACGTGAGCCAGGGGGGCTGGGCCTAGACACACAGCTCACCCTCTAAACTGGCCTCTGTCGTTCTGTGGTGCCTACATGATGGGGAGCAGTGGGTCCAGAGGGGCCAGTGTCCTGCTGCTTCACTACCACCATCTGACATTTTGTTCTTTGTTTAGTCACTAAGTCATGTCTGACTCATTGTGACCCCATGGACTGCAGCACCCCAGGCTCCTCTGTCCTCCACTATCTCCTGGAGTTTGCTCAGATTCGTGTCCATTGATTTGGTGAGGCAATTTAACCATCTTGTCCTCTGTCGCCCACTTCTCCTCTTGCCCTCAATCTTTCCCAACATCAGGGTCTTGTCCAGTGAGCTGGTTCTGCACATCAGGTGGCCAAAGTATTAGAGTTTCAGCTTCAGCATCAGTCCTTCCAGTGAATATTCAGGATTGATTTCCTTTAGGATTGACTGGTTGGATCTCCTTGCTGTCCAGGGACTCTCAAGAGTCTTCTCCAGCACTGCAGTTCAAAACCATCAATTCTTTGGCCCTCAGCTTTCTTTATGGTCCAACTTGCAACAACCATATGTGACTACTGGAAAAACCATAGCTTTGACTATATGGACCTTTTGTCAGCAAAGTGATGTCTCTGCATTTTAATACACTGTCTAGTTTTTCAGCTTGCCTTTCAAGGAGCAAGTGTTGTTCAATTTCATGGCTGTAGTCATGGTCCGCAGTGATTTTAAAGCCCAAGAAAAATCAAATCTGTCTCTGTTTCCACTTTTTCCTCTTCTATTTGCCATGAAGTGATGGGACTGGAAGCCATAATCTTCTTTTTTTGAATGTTGAATTTTAAGCCAGCTTTTTCACTCTCATCTTTCACCTTCATCAAGAGGCTGTTTAGTTCCTCTTCACTTTCTACCATTAGAGTGGTATCATCTACATATCGAAGATTGTTGCTATTTCCCCTGGCAATATTAATTCCAGCTCATGATTCATCTAGCTCAGCGTTTCTCATGATGTACTCTGCATAGAAGTTAAATAAGCAGAGTGAAAATATACAGCTTTTTTGTACTTCTTTCCCAATTTTGAACAAGTCTGTTGTTACATGTCCAGTTCTAACTGTTACTTCTTGACCTGGATATAGGTTTCTCAGGAGACAGGTAAGGTGGTCTGATATTGCCATCTCTTTAAGAATTTTCCACAGTTTGTTGTGATCCACACAGTCAAAAGCTTTAGCATAGTCAATGAAGCAGAAGTAGATATTTTTCTGGAATTCCCTTGCTTTCTCTATGATCCAATAAATGCTGGCAATTTGATCTCTGGTTCCTCTGCCTTTTCTAAACCCAGCTTGTACATCTGGAAGTTCTTGGTTCATATACCACTGAAGCCTAGCTTGAAGGATTTTGAGCATAGTGTTACTGTCTGACATAGAGGATGACATTGAGAGGGCCACAAAAATTAGACTTTTTCACAGGAGAACTAAGGCTTTTCAAAGACTGAGCTTCAGTTAACTGATCTTCCATCAACCAATAAAATAATCAATATCCATAATGATCCGTGAAGCCTTCACAATCTTGAAGTGCCTTCTGCATTAAAAAGGAAAAAGTAGGGAATTCCCTGGCAGTCCAATGATTAGGACTCTGAGCTTTCACTGCTGAGGGTCCAAGTTCAATCCCTGGTCAGGGAACTAAGATCCCACAAATTGTGTGCTGAGGAAAAAAAAAAATAGAGTAAATAAAAGAGTAAATTATATATGCTAAGTGTTAATATTTTATTCCCTGGCAGTCCAGTGATTAGAACTCTGAGCTTTCACTGCTGAGGGTCCAAGTTCAATCCCTGGTCAGGGAACTAAGATCCCACAAATTGTGTGCTGAGACCAAAAAAAAAGGGAAAGAGTAAATAAAAGAGTAAATCATATGAGTTAAATCTTAATATTTTAATATAAATGCTTGAATAATGAAAATCATGTTTGAAACATTTTAAAAAATTGACATCTCCCAATATACTTACATTTATTTATAACATATATAAAATACATAAATATAATCTCTAATGTATACTTATATAATATAATTTAATTTAAAATTACATTAATTCTCCAAGAATTACATTAATTCTCCAAGCCAGGCTTCAACAGTACATGAAGCCAGGCTTCAACAGCACGTGAACCGTGAACTTCCAGATGTTCAAGCTGGATTTAGAAAAGGCAGAGGGACCAGAGATCAAATTGCCGACATCTGCTGGATCATCGAAAGAGCAAGGGAGTTCCAGAAAAACATCTGCTTCTGCTTTATTGGCAACCAAAGCCTTTGACTGTGTAGATCACAACAAACTGTGGAAAATTCTGAAAGAGATGGGAATACCAGACCACCTGCCTTGCCTCCTTAGAAATCTGTATGCAGGTCAAGAAGCAATAGTTAGAACTGGACATGGAACAACAGACTGGCTCCAAATTGGGAAAGGAGTATGTTAAGGCTGTATAGTGTCACCCTGGTTATTTAACTTATATGCAGAGTACATCATGCGAAATACCAGGCTGGATGAAGCACAAGCTGGAATCAAGATTGCTGGGAGAAATATCAATAACCTCAGATATGCAGCTGACACCACCCTTATGGCAGAAATTGAAGAAGAACTAAAGAGCCTCTTGATGAAAATAAAAGAGGAGAGTGAAAAATTTGGCTTAAAACTTGACATTCAGAAAACTAAGATCATGGCATCTGGTCCTGTCACTTCATGGCAAATAGATGGGGAAACAATGGAAACAGTGACAGTGTTGGAAACAGTGACAGATTTGGGGGCTCCAAAATCACTGCAGATGGTGACTGCAGCCATGAAATTAAAAGATGCTTGCTCCTTGGATGAAAAACTATGACCAACCTAGTCAGCATACTAAAAAGCAGAGACATTACAACCACTACAATATTGTAAAGTAATTAGCCTCCAACTAATAAAAATAAATGGCAAAAAATAAAAAAATAAAACATAAAAAAAAAAGCAGAGACATTACTTTGCCAACAAAGACCCATCTAATCAAAGCTATGGTTTTTCCAGTAGTCATGTGTGGATGTGAGAGTTGGACTATAAAAGCTGAGTGCCGAAGAATTGATGCTTTTGAACTGTGGTGTTGGAGAAGACTCTTGAGAGTCTCTTGGACTGCAAGGAGATCCAACCAGTCCATCCTAAAGGAAATCAGTCCTGAATATGCACTGGAAGGACTGATGTTGAAGCTGAAACTCCAATACTTTGGCCACCTGATGTGAAGAACTGACTCCTTGGAAAAGACCCTGATGCTGGGAAAGATAGAAGGTGGGAGGAGAAGGGGACGACAGAGGATGAGATGGTTGGATGACATCACTGACTCGATGGACATGAATTTGAGCAAACTCCGGGAGTTGGTGATGGACAGGGAAGCCTAGCGTGCTGCAGTCCATGGAGTCACAGAATCAGACATGACTAACAGACTGAACTGAACTTAACTGAATTATGTAATTAATTAATTATGTAATATATATTCGACTGAAATGTTCATGATAACGCACAGAGCATACAGGACATTTTAAAGGGTAAGAGTACCTCCTTTCTTGATTAAAAGAGAAATTCTTAGCAAAGCATAAATAAAGGGGTACTTTCTTAACAGGATGAAAGATATTTATCTCAGCACATCGTGCTTATGAACACAGAATTTAGAAGCATTTGTACAGAAGTCACAACCAAAATAAGGATGCCATTATCACTACTATTATTTAATATTGTTTTGGAAGTACTATCTCTAATTAGAAAAGATGCTTTAATTACAACACTTGAAATTAATATATTAACAAGGAATAATAAATATCATCCTTTATGTAGGTAAATAAACGTCTATGCATGAGAAATGTGAGAAAATTAAGTTCAAAACTATTTTCAGTAATAAGAGAATTTACTGAGCTAGTGCAGTAAAACATTAATGTGTAGGAAGCAATAGCCATTACCAATACAAATAAAAAGCAGATAGAAGATGTAATAAAAGGTAATATCTAATTTACCAGTACCACAGTAAATCAAATATCTAGGAATAAATAAGTTTCATACCTGATACATAAGCAAAGAATCTACCTGCAGTGTGGGAGACCTGGATTCAATCCCTGGGTTGGGAAGATCTCCTGGAGAAGGGACCAGCTATCCCCCCACTCCAGTATAATGTCCTGGAGAATTCTATGGACTATATAGTTCATGGTCACAAAGAGTCAGACATAACTGAGTGACTTTCACTTTCACATAAGTAAAAGTCTAAGCATTCCAAAGGTTTGAATAAATAGAAAGATATAGTGTATTTTGTCTAAGGAGACAGCATCCTAAGAGTCAACAAAGGTTCCTCGGTAAATCCACAAATTTAGTGTAATTCCAATTAAAGCACCAACAAGACTCTTTTTTGTGTTCTAAAATTCAAATGGAAAAACAAACAGCAAGCATCTTTGTGCAAATTCTGAAATAGTCAAGGAAAGGCAACCATACCATGCAGATGTGAAAAATGATAAATCTATGATAATTAATGCAGTATTCTGAATGAGTAGGTAAACAGATCAGTGAAACAGAAGTTAAAGGTCATAAATACACCCAAATACACATTCAAATTTAATATGTGATAAAAGTGGTGTGTAAAATGGATCATTCAAAAATGATCACCAGGCCATCAACAGATGAATGGATAAAGAAGCTGGAATACTACTCAACCATAAAAACGATGCAGTCTTGCATTTGTGACAGCACAGATGGACCTTAAAGATATTATGCTAAGTGAAACCAGTCAGATGGAGAAAGACAAATACCACATGATCTGGCTAATATGTTGAATATTTTAAAACTAATAAACAAATAAAAACAAAATAAATGAAAAAGCTGAACAAAAACATGTAGACACAGAGAACAGACCAATAGTGACCAGAGGGCAAGGGACAGGGGAAAGGAGAGCAAATTGAGTAAAAAGGGTTAACTGCATGGTGATGGATGGAAAATAAACATTGGGTGGTAAGCACGTGGTAGGGTATACAGAAGTAGAAATATTATGTTATTAATCAATGTTACC